TTTTTGATTTATATTTAGTTGGAATAGAAGTTTAAATATATACATAAAAGTATTAACTTGCATCTGTTTCACTTAGTTCTTCTCTCATAGCTTTGAGTCGTTGTCGTTCAAGATAATTTTTCAATGGTAATTTTTTTCTACCAGCTCGTCGTTTATTTTCTGCTAAAGCTAATTGTTCAAGTCGTTGAAAATCTTCCAATGTTTTTGATTGAGGTTCTTGTTCATTATTATCATGTTCATTTTTATTATCTTCATCTGTTTCATTAATTTCTGTTAATGTAACAGGTTGAGTATGAAAACGAAGACTACGACGAGAACGAGTTGAATTTATACCAAGTTTTGATGGAATATCTTCAAAACAAGTTTTCGGATAACGTTCATTAATGAAATGTGTCGTATCAATTGAAGTTGATGGTTGATGATTAATAGTATTACACGGTAATCTATCGTTCGAAGAAGAATTTAACGGCGTTTTAGTAGGAGCAGTAATCGACATGATTGTTTTATAGTGAAAATAGAGAATCTATGTGACAATATAGAATGTCATCATTATTTTTGAGGGTAAAAATCTTACTGATATTTGTCTATTGAATAGATGACATAAAAAAGAAGAAAAAAGACAACAAAACAAAAGGTCGTTTTTTTTTTGCAATAGGTCTGTTGAGTTGATATGATAATATCTTCTATCGGCTTTCTTTCTCTATTCTTATCGTTGTCAGTCTGTTCGGCACCCTTCGATGTATATATATATATATATGTATGTATGTATGTGTATATGTGCGTGTCTAATTCGTAGATAGATTAGAAGATAGGCGTAGATATGTCTTGAGAAATCAGTTAGCTGCTAGTTGTCATTTGTTTTTTCTGATATAGAAAAATCTTAAGTCAATAATTTTTGCTGTCTTATTGGAAAGAAAGACAAGAAGAAGAAAAAAAAAAGGAAATACTAGCTGATAGACGTTGACATCTGAGTTAACATTTGTACACATACCTGTTATCATCATTAGTTATATATTTGCATTAATTTTACTGTTCTCTTAACTACAATGATCATTAATAGATATTATATTTTTCAGAATATATGGAACGAATAATCTTATCTGAAAGAATTTCCATGAAAGCAACATTTGTTTTGATGTTAGTCGAGCAAGAAAATTCAAGTAGACCAGATCGACAGGCATTTGACATCGATCAATTACTCTTGAAGACATCGATGAGAAAAAAATCTGTCCAAGTGAAAATATGACAGACAGATAGACCATATGTGTTTTGTGACAAACGATGAATATTAGAAAACATGTAATATACATAGAGAAGACACTTAATTATTGTAAACAAAACAAAAAAAAAAGAAAGCTATTTGATTAAATTTTTTTAGAGCCGGATGGAATACGGCTTAACATCCACATTTTCATTATTATATTTAATGACGTCAATCAAATGTTTCACGCTTTACTTCTAAAGTTGACAATTTATTGATTAAATTATTCTATGTGATAATACAACATCATTCTTTATTTATCTAAGAATTCTCTAATGTGATATTTATTTTTGTACTTCTTAATTAAAATAAATATCTCTGAGTTTTAGATTCTAACACATTAATTAGTTCATTAGGATTTGATTTTGTTAACAATATCGTGTTCGATGAATAATATGATTACTATTATAATTATTAGTTAAACATATTTGTGTTCAATCAGATAATTTTCTATCAACATAATATTATTCTTTTAGAGTTATGTCGAACACCGAGGAATATCTCAAAATTAGTTTACAAAAATATTATATGTATGACCTGTTTTATTCCCATTTTTGAAAGAAAGGGTTATAGGCTCACTAAACAGGGTCGTTAAAATGCTTAAAGTTTGTCCGTTTGTTTGTTTGTCCAAGCCAATCAAATTGCAGCATTTTTAAAATCAATGAAAACTTATCGGTGATCATCAGAAAATGTTTGGCCAAAGGTAATCCGGGTCGGGAAATCCGAATCTGATGTTAGTTTTTTAAAATTTTGTTGAGAAACACTTCTTTTAAACAAAGGACCGCTTTTTTTGCAAGAAAATTTTTTTTAAGGGTCGAGCGAAGATTAATTGAGGCCGAGGAACTCGAATCTGATGTTAGTTTTTGCAAACTGTGCAAGTAAAAAGTTCAGTAGTATTGTAGAACACGTTTCCTACAAGAAAGAGCTAAGCGAGTCTCTGAACGAGCGTTACTTGTTAATAATAATTATAGAAAATTTTCTTTCAGAAAAAGAGTCAGTGAATCCATCGGATAAGTGCTACCATGTTGTTTAATAGGCTCTCTATATTTCATTAATTTATCAAATATTTAATCAAATCTCATGATCTCACTTTTTTACATATTATTTATTAAAATATTATCGATTGTTAGTAAATGTAAGATTTTTTAGTGATTAGGGATGTTAGTTTATCTTTATTTTTCTTTAAATAAAGATAAAATAGAGGACAAAGAATTTTTTGAAATAGCTCACAAAAATCATGATATTATATAGGTAAATATAATATAGAATAACATTTTTCGTATATATTTATATCGTTTCTTGTGTGATTCTTTTTTTTTTGGATGATAATGATAAGAAAGAACACTAGTTAACGTATTCTGTTGTTGGGTGTGGGTAGTCACCTGTTTTCGCATCTGCATCCACACCCGTTTGAGTGTGGATGAAGGGGGGTTATTTTCTTACCGTCGATCTCATTCTTAGGAGTAGATGATCTTCAAACAGCGGGCAAATCACAACTAAATTTACATAGAGATGTTGAGAGAAGTAATTTTTCAGCTTCGTTCTTGTTTAGTTTGAACTTTTGGTCAGTTTTTGTTCCTTTTCTTAAAATGCAATATCTCAAAATCAGATTGAGTTGGGGAATAATGATGAACTCGTTACAACTTATCTTGTTAATGAGATTCAAATTCAATCTGAGATAGACGCTAAAGCGGAATTATTCAAAAATAGTTTATCAATTCGAGTCATTTCATTTCTCAATGATTTGAAAATTGCAACTCAAACAAATCACGTAGTTACTGCTCTTAATACAAATTTCGTGACGTTACCGTATTACATGGAAGAGTATAATGAATTCGGTCTTCTTTCCTATCAAACAAGGCATGTTGGGGAGGAAGGAGGTAATGCGCCAGCTAGCGTATTTTCTTATTGTAGAATCGATAATCCAACAAGTACGATTAGTTTCGGTTGGACCTCATTGTTCGAATATTTTCATTCTCACATTGAATGGTACAGTTATCGTCGTGAATGGTATAAAGATTACATTGAATTGAAACAAATCGATGATTTTTTTAGTGGATGCCCTCCGCTCGAAGTTCTCTTTGAAAGTGTACTGGATTGTTTATACAACATCGAATGTCTTGAATTAATATTGTTATTTTCCAAATTTTAGTGTGGGTGTGGGTGTGAATACAAGAGACCCTTATCCTCGATATTTTTCCACTACTCTCTTTCTTCTGTATTCATAGTAACTATATAAGACTGAGAGTATCCTTGCAAAACAAAAAGGTAGGCATCACTTCAAAATACATACTATCACACAATATTTATTTTTGCATTCAATAAAAACAAATCCAATGGTTAATGACAAGACGCTGGTATACATCTTGGCATGATTGGTCTTATGTTCGACTATGTGTAATGCTCGCGTCGTTAATAACGATTTTGATGAAGATACTTCTCTTGATACCGGCGATGAGTTTATCAAAAGAAGTTTCCAGGAACATCGTAGCAATAAGTTTCTCATTTATTCATTTTTACTATAATCTATGTTATTCAATATGCTTACGTCAAACACATAGTGTTCACTAAAATTTCTGAATAGAATGATGATTAGAGTCATCCGTTTGCTACGAATTTCTTTTTTTGAGGACGTGGGTAGAGTGTCATTTTCTACTATACCCATACTCACACCCTTCTAAAGACATTTCTCGGAGAAGCTCTCTACATGTGACACGGTATATTTCTAAATTTGTTCTGCTTCAGTCTCTTTATTTAAAATGTTGTGTTCGACAAAAAATGATGGATGAATTTCGAAAAGAAAGTATTTATTGGAATTTATTTTCCAATATCTACTATAAGAAATGCAACGGATCCTAACATTGATGAAAAATTATTACAAGAAAAGTTCAAGTGATCAAAATAGTTTTTTTTCTGTAATAGCCACTATTGTTTCACTTCAAAAAGCTTTGGTTGATTGAGTTGATTTTACACGTAGTTGTAGCATTCGTTTTCTTTACTTCCATGCGTAAGGCGAACTACATTAGGAATATGTGGATTCCATCATCGATTGCTTTTCCATCACTAATTCGTGCGGAGAAGCAGAGTAGCTGTTGTCTTGTGATGGCCATTACCGTTGTTGTGCCTCTTAACATTAACTACATATTTGATGAAAACATTCTTTTTAGATAATGATTGTTATCATGATAACCGATTATTGTATAATACCGTAAAGAGCAATCAAAGATTATGTGTAATATTATACGGAATTCTTACAGCAGGTTAGTGTCATCGGGAACCACCATAACACACGATTTGGATATTATTTTCTGTATCAAGTAAGGAATTATTGAAGTGATCTTCTAAAATGTGTACCGGTGATGAACAACTAAGAAAGTCGGCAATGATTAGAGTTTATTCATCGAGTTTGTTCGCTGTTACTACTTATAATAAATAATTTGCCGTCAATATTACCATTGAATTTTGACAACACAATTCTATTAACTATTTTACTTGCATATATTGAATTACTTTCATATAGTAAAGCATCATCGGGAAGACGAATATCTTTTTCCAAGGTTCTTGTTTGCGGAATACTTATGTTTTAAACGGTATCATCAAAAATCTAATGAGTCTAACGATTCCGCAAAACTGGGCAGCTGGGATCCAAAAACGTTGGCATTGTAATCTTGTAAAGTACCGAAACTTTGGTTGACTGTTTGAACCATAGCAGAGAAATGACCATGTTTTGCGTATGGACAAAAGCCGACTTGGTCACTAGAAGATTTCTTGTTTGAGCAGGACATTAATAAATCATTGAAAGAGTCCATTGCTTTTCTGTATAGATAAAACAATCAGAACGTGACGAATTAGACTGATATTCAAAATCCAATAAGTGATAGTTGATTCTTCGATTATACTCAGTTCGATGCATTGCTGTACCAGTTTTGCTTTAACATAAATTGAATTTAAAAATAGGGAACTCGGTACAAAAAAGTATCAACTAAAAGTTCGAAAAACACTGAATAGACTGGGGAAGAAAAAAGCACACAAAACCACTAAAATAATAAACAGAAAACTAATAATTATATAAGCAACACTGAAAGTATAATTGTTAAGATTAATTTTTTTTTAATTTCAATAACCATCCGATTGTTCCTTGATACTATTCTCTACTGCTCGCTCATCTAATTGAACCAAGTATTGTTTCGTATAATCAGGAGACCAATTTTCGTTAACCATCATTTGTTCTGCTTCCGTAAAAGCGTCCATTTTATCAGGAAAATGACCCTTCGCATATTCGATTGTCTCTCGAGCTTCTTGATAGACCTCATTTTTGATAAATGCATCTATCACCATTATAAAAGAGTTGAATATAATATCTAGCGGTTGCTTCGAACATGCTTCATTAAATTTTGACACTGCTTCTTCATACTTATCCAACGCCAACTCTATTTCATCGACCGCTTCTCGTAATTTTCCTTCACGGTACAACTTTAATCCTAGCTCATTTAGTTGTAATGCTTCAGCTATCATCTTCCAGCGGGTTAGAACTTTCGTAGCTGGCTGCTCGGTTACATACTTGTCAATTGCTTTTTTCCAACGGCTTGCACTACTAGAAGCCCGCTCTTCCACAGTTTTCTTCTCTTCTACTGCTACAATATTTTGGATGTACTGCTCATTCTGCACTACGACATTATTTTTCAATTCTACAACCTTCTTTTCTGCTTCTGCAGCCTTCTTTTCCGCTTCTGCTGCCTTTTTTTCTGCTTCTGCTGCCTTCTTCTCTGCTTCTGCTGCTTTCTTCTCTGCATCTGCTGCTTTCTTCTCTGCTTCTGCAATCTTCTCTTCTGCTGCTGCAATTTTTGCGACATGCTTTTCTTCCTGTTCTGTGGCCTTCTTTTTTACTTCTGCAGTCTTGATTTCTGCTAATGAAGCCTTCATTTCTGCTGCTTTATGTGCTTCGGCTATCTTCTGCGCCTCTACAACCTTCGCTTCTGCCACTTTCAGCGCATCTGCAGCTTTCGTTTCTGCTGCTGCGGCCTTCATTTCTGCCATTCTTTGAGCATCTACAGCCTTCTTTTCTGCTGCTTTGTGCGCCTCTGCTATTTCCAGTGCATCTGCAGCCTTCTTTTCTGCTGTTGTGGTCTTTATGTCTGCCACTCTTTGAACATTTACAACCTTTGTTTCTGCCAGTCTTTGCGCATCTACAGCCTTCTTTTCTGATATTTTATGCGCCTCAGCCATTTTCAGCGCATCTGCAGCCTTCGTTTCTGCCACTTTTTGCGCATATATAGCCGTGTTTTCTGCTGCTTTATGTACCTCAACCATTCTCAGCGCATCTGCAGCCTTCGTTTCTGTCGCTCTTTGGGCATATATAGCCGTGTTTTCTGCTGCTTTATGCCGCTCAGCTATTTTCAGCGCATCTGCAGCCTTCGTTTCTGCCGCTCTTTGCGCATA